CTGTTTTACTGCATTGAAGTTAGTGTTTTGTTTCTAATGTTTTTGTTTTCCATCTGTTCTTCTCATAGAGTACTTGGCTGGATTGTTCCAACAGGCAGGATTTGAGACTCTAGTGAACGAGTATGTGTTGAGAGAAACTGTGAATAAAAAAGAGGGTCTGTGTGTTCCCCGAGTGTTCCTGCAGAGTAAATTTCTCAAATCTGTTCCATCATTATCACCAGCATAAATAAGTCACATTTTTGTAAATGTATTTTTCAAAGTGTCATGCATTCATTTATTGTATTTCAGATAAATACAATTTTCAATTACATGTTGTTTTAGTACTATCTCATGATGAAATAAAATCTGTATATTTTTCAATTGTTGGTGGATTTCTTTATTTCAGGTTTGAGAATAACATGGTGTGCTGGACACTTTCTAATGTTTATTGTAGGGTGCAAAGTTGTATGTAATTATACCCATAAATATGTATATTTATATGTAAAACTGTATTTTTTTTATTGATATTTACATATGTCATCATATATATGAACCACTCTAGTGGTAAGGATTCGGCGCTCTCACCGCCGCGGCACGGGTTCGAATCCCGGTCAGGGAATGAATCGTATCCACTTGCGAATACTTTCAATTTGTGAGGTCAAGACTAGGAGTGACAAATAAAACGATACGAATGCTTTATCAGTTTAATAATTCAGACAAAAGGTTATGAATTTATATTTTAAGATCACAGTTAAATGAAATTTCACCGTATTTATTTTATAAATGCATGGTATTAATCTTTCTGTAAACGACTCCTGTTTAATTTCTTAAATTGTCAGCTCTATCTTCCGGTGAAACGACAGACCTCTGCTAAAGTGTGGTCGGATTTCAATAATTTCGTCTACTTAAACCTATCCCTCTCTTACAACCGAGTGCAGTGCCAGCTCAAATTCAAGTCTGCTTGTCTCTGTCAAATCAGCAAACGATGGATAGCGACATTTACCACTGTGAATTTTCACAAACTTAACTGCAGGGGGCTCTAAAATATCAAACCCCCCCCCCCATAGAGTACTTGGCTGGATTGTTCCAACAGGCAGGATTTGAGACTCTAGTGAACGAGTATGTGTTGAGAGAAACTGTGAATAAAAAAGAGGGTCTGTGTGTTCCCCGAGTGTTCCTGCAGAGTAAATTTCTCAAATCTGTTCCATCATTATCACCAGCATAAATAAGTCACATTTTTGTAAATGTATTTTTCAAAGTGTCATGCATTCATTTATTGTATTTCAGATAAATACAATTTTCAATTACATGTTGTTTTAGTACTATCTCATGATGAAATAAAATCTGTATATTTTTCAATTGTTGGTGGATTTCTTTATTTCAGGTTTGAGAATAACATGGTGTGCTGGACACTTTCTAATGTTTATTGTAGGGTGCAAAGTTGTATGTAATTATACCCATAAATATGTATATTTATATGTAAAACTGTATTTTTTTTATTGATATTTACATATTTCATCATATATATGAACCACTCTAGTGGTTAGGATTCGGCGCTCTCACCGCCGCGGCCCGGGTTCGAATCCCGGTCAGGGAATGAATCGTATCCACTTGCGAATACTTTCAATTTGTGAGGTCAAGACTAGGAGTGACAAATAAAACGATACGAATGCTTTATCAGTTTAATAATTCAGACAAAAGGTTATGAATTTATATTTTAAGATCACAGTTAAATGAAATTTCACCGTATTTATTTTATAAATGCATGGTATTAATCTTTCTGTAAACGACTCCTGTTTAATTTCTTAAATTGTCAGCTCTATCTTCCGGTGAAACGACAGACCTCTGCTAAAGTGTGGTCGGATTTCAATAATTTCGTCTACTTAAACCTATCCCTCTCTTACAACCGAGTGCAGTGCCAGCTCAAATTCAAGTCTGCTTGTCTCTGTCAAATCAGCAAACGATGGATAGCGACATTTACCACTGTGAATTTTCACAAACTTAACTGCAGGGGGCTCTAAAATATCAAACCCCCCCCCGCGACGATCGAAAAAGAAAAACTGTAACAGGGCGGGGATTTGATTCTATCCATCGTTTGCTGATTCAGTATTAAAACGACATTTCTAAATATTCCAACGTGCTTTCTTGTGGCGGAATACATCATTTTAAATGCACATTTAAAATTGTCACCCCTATTCCGCCACAAGAAAGCACGTTGGAATATTTAGAAATGTCGTTTTAATACTACAATAAGCCATCTCAAAAGATAAATGTAGTGTGCTTATTTTCTTCTGCGCATCTGCATAATTGACCGTGCATAATTAGCCGAATTACATTAGCCAGTTATATTTATACATTGTATATATTTATTCTTTTCTGTTCTTTTTCTTCTTCTACTACTACTTTTTAATGTTGAAAAAAAGTGCTCGACCTCTAAAGGATACAAGTATGCGAGTTGTCGTTATGTTCAAAAAAACTGTTCGACCTCTAAAAGATACAAGTATGCGAGTTGTCGTGGCCGAGTGGTTAAGGCGATGGACTAGAAATCCATTGGGGTCTCCCCGCGCAGGTTCGAATCCTGCCGACAACGAATCGTTTTCCGTTCTGGAACTTAACTTACACCAACCAGCAAACCGGAAGCGTTAGGTCAGCTTCCAGAGCACGGTAATATTATGTTTAACAGGGCAGTAAAGTTAATTTTGTAGCATTTGACTAGTTATATTACGGGAAATTTCTGCATTTTTGAAAGGACAGCAAAGAAATTGCAACCGTTTAAGATGTACATCTTGCGATTTCAGTGTAATCATTATTTGAGGATCAGGAATGGGACTCTTCCTGTGACTATTTATTTTTCAGGTAAGGTATCAGGAGGGAACATCATTTGATCAGGAGGGGGCAGCATTGATCCATGTGTCCCACTGTAGCAGATGCAGCAGTTTGTTCATTCATCAATTCATTGATTTTCTTAGACTGCCACAGGCACCAGCATGTCAGTTAATGATGTCTTTGTTGAAGTCATCGTGTTGCCCTCTTAGAGATAAGCTTTATTAAATTTGCACATGCTGATAAAGAAACACTTTTGCACGAGCGTTCAACAACCCAACACGCCACGCCACCTTTTTAGCATGAACCCTTTTTTCCTCCGGACTGCTTCATTTCTTTATTATCTTCAGCGCAGTGTCTTACTCAACTTTTGCATCAAACAGACAGTGAATCATTCGTACCATGTCTTTTATGTTGTTATCTTCCGTATTTAGGCCATGATGCACTTCGCTGCGTGCTCAGACACAGCCGAGCTCTTAAGTTGAAGGGTCTTTGTGTTTTAATTATGTTCAAGCTTGCAACTTTAATTAGGAGAGAATGTGGTTGGAATTTGTCAATGAAGCTTTAGAAACTTGAACCTGAGGTTCAGGATTCAGGATTGTAGCTGCATATATTGCTTATATTACTTGCTATACAAGATAGAATAGCATAGAAAGAAGCCTTTATACTTCTGAAATATGAATACTTTATGGTTGATAGTCCATATATCTGGAGTTTTTAACAACTTAGAATAGACTTAAAAATTCCAAAGACATTTGGTTAGCTTGAAAATTTGAACTCTGTAATACTGTTTTGAACCATGTGATCATTAGGTCTTCAAATGATTGGTGCTTGCATTTCAGATTCAGATTTGTTGTGGTAAAAAAAATATATATAATAAATCCTACAAATGTAAATAAAATGGTCCTTATAATAGGCTTCCATTTTTTGTGCAAAATATAAACAATATTTGTTTTATTATTGTTACTTATAATTTTCATATATTATTATTATTTTTAGGATACTTGGGTGAAATGGGACCACAAGACCTTACAGCTTTATTATGTGCATTGGGTTCCATTCTAATTGCTCTTGTATTAAAATCCAGGCTTGTTTACAAAAAACAAATGGGAAAAAAAAAAGCTTTCTATTTGGTCCTTAAAATAGGGCAGAAATGTGCTTTTTATTGTGGAAGAAATTCTAAATTAAATCTAAATTTTAAAAAAAGCCTTCCATCTTCAGTGCAAAATATAAACAATATTTTTTACAATTATTTTCATTTATATTATTATATTTTATATAATAGATTACAATATCATATTATTATTATTATCATTGTTGTTGCTAGGGTGAAATGAGTCCTTTATATAAATGAGGATTTTATAACTTTCTTATACGTTTGCTCATTGACAACATCCAGTTGTCATTTTGAAAGAAGCAGACCCACACACAAGATAATAGTTTTTGCAATTTGTTCTATAAATGGGTTGTAAATACTGAAAAAATGAGGTTTGCAGTTGGTGATAAAGTTCAGTCGATAAACTAAAGCAGTGAGTCAACTGTGCGATGGATCGCTCCAGGTTAAATTGGACATCTGTCAACTACAAGTACAGAAATATATTCAAATCCTTACAAAGCTTCTCTTCTGTCCCCTGCTTTAGGAATAACATGCAGGACCATCACAAACTAAAAGCCAAACTGAGAAGGAAAAAGGATGGGCGTGCGTACGCCTGTCAGTGTAGCTGGCACTCAGCCGTGTCGCGCTCTGACCTGAGGGAACAACAGCAGCTAAAGTGGGTTTGTGGCAAACACAAAGTATGAGCACGAGTCTGCAACAGTTCTCCTCTGAAATCTTATCTGTGTCCACCAGCAAGTGTTGCATGCTCTCCTCCTCACAAAAGAGAATGCTGGCCATTTTCAAAATTTGCTTTGTGCAGTTTGTGGGACTGGATAACAAAAATAAGTCGTTTTCTTCTGAGTTTTAGTTTTTTGTGTGAAGTAATTGTGAGTCTCTTTGACGACGCTACATTCTCCCTTAGAATGATGAAGCACTGTGGCTGGTTTATATTATGTAGACTCTATTATTTTGAATAATGAAAGGCTTTAACATACAAATACTCTAAATACACATGCAAATTTTTAGATATTTTGCACAGTTGGAAATTTAAAAAGAATTAGATTGAATGTTAATAATAGAATGATTGTTTATAGTTTAATGTTTATCATAAAATAGACCATGTAGTTTTTTTTTCTGTTCTTCCCGAATATTCCTTAAGAAACACTCAGGTATTGCAAGGGCCCGTCTGTGTTACATTCAATGGTTTTCAGGGACGTGATGTTGTGAATCGTCTGTCCAAAATAATAAATGCACATCATTGTACACAGAATAAACAGAATCAAGAATTAAAAGAATAATTTGTGTTTTTGAAGGTTTTACCTGCTCGGAAAAATCTCTTGCAGTTGTCATGTTGATTTCACCAGGTTCCAGCTTCATCATAGTCGCTCTCTGAAGATGCAGCAGAATGGTCATCCCTCTCTTTTTTAGGTGGTACATTAACATACGATGCCTCTGATGCTGTGCTGCTGTTATCGGTTTCTAAAATTTAAAACAAAACAAAAAACAAAAAATTATTTTGTGTTTTACTTGTAAACTAATATTGCTTGCTTTAAGGTTCAGGTTTGCTGTACAAAAGATCCAGGTTCAAAGGAGTTGGGGGATTTCAGAAAGGAAGCTCTGAGCTGAGAAGTACTGTCACATGGTTAAGTACAAGAGGTACCTTGACTGGTACTGTTTCTATGGTCCCCGTAACCATCAGTACTTTCTGTCATCTGTGCAATGTGGGGATTCTGAAAAGACATCTCATGAAGTGATGGGCTTTCCTCACCTTCCAAAAACAAGAGACACAAATTTTAGTTACGTTTTTAGATATTTCTAACAATACAATTAGAACAGTAATATTGTGAAATATTTCAATTTAAAAAAAACTTTATTTTAATACATTTTAAAATTTAGTTTACATGATCCTCCAGAAATCATTGCTAATTTGCTGCATTTTTGGAAAACAATGCATATTTTTTCAGCATTTATTTTAAACAAATATTTTGTACCATAATGTTTTTACTGTCGCAATAAATAAATTGCAGCATTGCTGCATAATAAAATTTATGGTAATGCATTGCTGCCATATACTATTATTTTTTTCCACTCAATTATGTTGTAATAAAGAGCTATGTTGTTTAAACGACATCTTTTCATCATATATATATATATATATATACATATACATACACACACACATACATATATGTATATATATATATATATAGAGAGAGAGAGATTTTTGTTTTTCTGTTTCTTAAACAAAATGAAATAATAATAAAATTAAGCCACTGACATGTGGTTATTACAAAACAAAAAATGGTTTTAACGAGGTAATTATGTTGTTTTAAAGGGGTGAGTTTTTACTGTCGCAATAAATAAATTGCAGCATTGCTGCATAATAAAATTTATGGTAATGCATTGCTGCCATATACTATTATTTTTTTCCACTCAATTATGTTGTAATAAAGATGTTGTTTAAACGACATCTTTTCATCATATATATATATATATATATATACATATACACACACACATACATATATGTATATATATATATAGAGAGAGAGAGAGATTTTTGTTTTTCTGTTTCTTAAACAAAATGAAATAATAATAAAATTAAGCCACTGACATGTGGTTATTACAAAACAAAAAATGGTTTTAACGAGGTAATTATGTTGTTTTAAAGGGGTCATATGACGTTGCTAAAAAGAACATTATGTGGTCTGAAAAGCGAGGTGTGCTGTGATTGGCCAGCTATCCAGTGCGTTGTGATTGGCCGAATTCCTCAAGCGTGTGACGGAAATGTTACACACCTTAACATACTGTGATGCTGTGTCTCCCGGCCAGTGTTGCCAGATGTACGATAATTATCGTATTTGTACGATCATTTTGACCTCTGTACCATGTACGATCAATAATGAAAAAAATCCCATAATGTACGATAATTTCATAATTTTATGACAATTCAAATGATGGTAGTTGTAGTCATAGGGCTTCTAGTCTTCACGACATGGCGGCTGCAACAATACTTACAGCGAGAATAAAAGTTACGCCTTTCTTTGCTTGAACATTTGGGCGGCGTTATGCAAATCTTCCCACATAGCGACGTAGACATGTGGGGGCGTGTTTAAACGAGGCGTTTTAGGAGGGTGTGGACAAGTCAACTTTTATAAAGAATATCTCTTTGGATTTGAGACTTTAGTCTTTGCAAATTTACAGATCTTCTTTATGCACCAAGAGCTTGTAACACTCCAAAGAGAAAGGAAAAATTGAAATCGCATCATATGACCCCTTTAAAGACAACATCTTGTTATTATTAGAAAAATGTAATTAAAACGGCATAACATCTCATTATTATGACATAATTGGGAGGAAAATTTTTTTTTTTTAATTTAATTTAAAAAGTCTTGCTGAACCCAAACTTTAGTGGTGCAGTAGTGTAATTTAAACCTGGAAATATTGAAAAATGCATTTAAAACAAAGAAATGTTACAACAAAATGAATAAGTTTTATTAAAGATTCTGCACCATTAACTAATCAAACTTTGAATTTTTCCATTAAACTTCTCAAATTGTTCTGCTGGTGATATAATTATAATGAAATATTTGCATTAAATTAGAAAAATGTACTTGTGGTCTTATAAAACATAAAATGGCTTTTATATACTGTACTGTATAATGTACATACTACTTTTATATGCTGTACTGTATACTATATACTGTAGACTTGCACTCTATTAATTTATTAACTGCTTGTTTTCTTTAAAAAAAAACTAAAACTAGCTTCTCTATTCTTTTTCTGTTCTATCTATTCCTTTTCTTGTATTTATTATATAATTAACAAAAGCAAAAAAGGCCTCACACTAGCTTGCTCTATTCTTTTTCTATTCTATCTGTTTTCTTTTTATATATTATATAATAAATAAAAAAAACTTGCTACGTGTACTGCGTTAAGCTAACTGAGACTTGTTATAGCACTTGCGTATCATTGCTCTTTTGTTGATTTTGATTGCTTCCGTTGTCCTCATTTGTAAGTCACTTTGGATAAAAGCGTCTGCTAAATGACTAAATGTATATATACTGTATGTTTCATTCATACCATAATGGTGAAAGGCGTTTTCATCAATCTCTGTGTTCTGATAACACTCTTCTGATGAAGTACTGTCTGAATCATTCCCATCTGCCAAGCACAAAAGCATTCACACATATCCCTATCAAAATACACGGTTGTCAATATTGTAACATTGTTCAATCAAATAGTTACCTTGACTGTGGGTGACAGGTACACGAGAGCCGCTGTAACCAGCAGTGTTTCCTGTCATCTGAGTGCTGTGGGGTGTCTGTAGTGACTTCTCAGGAAGTGATGGGCTTTCCTCGTCTTCTAGAGAAAACAGATACATGCGATTTACCTGACAGAATGAATCCTCAGAATGCTCAGTGAAAATATCCTTCAAGCCTCAATATTAAATGATTTATGTGAACCTACCATACTGGATACTGTTGTCCATGTCGATCTCTGTGTTTTGATAGCACTCACCAGAAGATGTACTGTCTGAATCATTCACATCCACCGCTGAAGTTAAAAGACAATTCATAAATCTGAAATGTATTTCCCTACTACAAGATACTGTTTAACTTTAAAGGTGGAAGAAGTTTTTACAATCTGGGACCTCATCAAGAGTTTTAAATCAGAGCTTCACCTCGACTGTCAGGGTTTGATAAGTGATGGTCACCGTAAGACAGGGGTGCAAATGGTGACTTTTCATGCAATGATGGTCTTTCCTCACCTTCATTAAGGGAAAAAAGATGAAATATCAGTGGATACACCTAAACATGTTCTCTCTGGATTAAATGAATTAAATTTACCCAATGTATGATTTATTTTTACATACGTGACATGAAATTGTTGTCCGTGTCAATCTCTGTGTTTTGATAGCACTCGCCAGAAGATGTACTGCTTGAATCATTCACATCCACCACTAAAGACAAAAGAGAATTCATAAATCTGAAATTTATTTCCCTACTACAAGATACTGTTTAACCTTAAAGTTGCAGGGTACCTGCAGGATTTTAAAGCTCAAATGTAATACTTTTTAAGACCTGCACAAATCAAATTAATACCATATAAGAGGGGTAGGGCAATGTCTCTATGCTAACATATAAAACTGTAAAATGGCCATAAAAAGCATGATAACCAGCATACTTGATGAGTTTAGATGCAATCTTTGCAGTCGACTGCTGTTGTGATGTTCATAGTCTGAATCAGTGGAGCTGTCAGAGTTGTGAGTGGGTCGATTTGTTCTCTTGCTAAATCTGCAGTTTGAGCTCATTCTCAGGCCAAGATTTTCTGAGGAGTGAAAAACATTGCAAAATGTAAAAGTTTGACCATTACAGAAATGACAAAACAGATCATCACTAAAGTTAGACAAGACATACTTTTTTAGCATTTTATGTATATTATAATTGCAGAGCCAGTTAATTAGAAATAAAAAAATAATGTAGTATAATTATAGTATTATTTCATATTCATAATAATAACATTAATAAATGCTACTAAAAATAAATAATCAGTGAGGACATAGAAAATAAAAACAATAGCAATACAAACCATACTGATAACCCCCAGCAGTGTGGACAGATTGTGTGTTGTAGATTCCTATCTGTGCATTGAACTGGTTCTCCAGGCTTGTGTGAGAATTACTGTGTTGTTGGTGAATCACACATTCTGTTGGCAAAGAGGATAAAAACAAATGGCTTAAACTTCCCCATGCAGCACTAAGCCGTTGCCTTAAGCTTTTGTATTGTCCTATTAACTAAAATTAAAAGAATGAGTTAATAGTTCACAAAAGGTTTGACACTCTTCATGTTCTATAAAAAAAGAATTTCCCGTTATTTGAATGGAATACACTGAATGCACACAGAAATTGGCCAAGAAGTCAGTGAATTCCTTTGAAGATCATAATACAGTATTAAAACAACAGTGTTGTATTCGTATGCATAGATGCTCTCAGAGTTAGACAATGATAAAAATAACTACAAGTCTGTTTGTTGTAGTAGCTCAGCTCTACATGCTCAGTTCCATTTTATTTAGTTCTAAGAAAACGTGTGTTATTTATTTTCAGATGCCACTTTTTTATGTGAGTAAAGGGTCTAAAATGGTTTGAATATTTTTTGGTGCCACTGTATTTTCATAGCCAGTTATTTTAGTACAGTGGATAGTATTTAGTTTCTAACCCTATTGCAACATTCCGATGCCACTGTTTCCACTGCTTCAGAAGATATGAGTGAGTAGTGCTTTTACATGTAAAACATGCTTATACTTGCCCTTTGCTCTTTTGAAATGCGCATAGGCAGCAGCGTTTAAAACAATAACCATAAGCAGAGCAATAGATAAGATGACGCAGCCAATCGCTGCTGCTGAAACACCACTGCTGCTTTGTGCAGATGCCATTGCAGTTGACACTAAAATAGACAGAGAGGTTTATATTAACAGAAATCATGCAGATTATGTCACTGTTTTTAATCATTTATATTTCTTTTTAAACTGAAGGAACTAAAGCATCACCCGTCACCAGAGTTGTCAAGTTCATGGTTGTGCCGCTTGTGGGTATGACCTCAACACTTTCTGTATGAAAGACAATTAATCCATTTGGATACAAAGGATTCAAAGGAGTACAAATTACCAAAACCTGTCAGTCTGGATTTCACAACAAGACACTAGCAAAGCTAAAGCTTATATATGTGTGTTTTGACATTACTGAAATACTGTTGTAAGCCTGCCCTACTTTTGTCTTATTTTTTTAGACCAACTGACATGGAAATTCTCTCCCACCACCCTAAAAAGTTAATTCTGACCCGCATTTCAGTGAAATTATGGTAATGTTCCACCTCAAGAGGTCACGTACTACCGACCTCAGGTACACACAGGAAATTTGGTTGCCAAGTAATCCTTTTGGCACAAAAAGTTGGTGTCTACAAATCAAATGTTATAATGCTCAAATCAACACTTAAGTTCATACTGGCCCAATTTACCGTCATACTACATGTCCTGTACTGAACGATTCAACAGTGTATGTTTTTCCAAACAAAAATGGATTACACTTAATTTTAAGGTGTCCTTGTAACCGTATAATTATGAGTAATGTTAATTAACCACATTGCTAACATTACCATATTCGGGTGCACATTAGTGGTGCACACAGGTGCTCATGCGCAACAAAAATAAAAAATACGCTGTAAATAAATTAAGACTAACGTTACTCACTTGCGTACCAACATGATTGACAGCTCTTAATGCACAATCACCCTTTTAGATCGACTAACTGTAATACTGAATTAGATTTTCATTCAAACATAAAGCATAAATCTAGGCTATGTGCTGCAGTTTTCACATCAAAATGCAAAACTGACATTTATGCGCTTCACTCGGCAGCGCTAAAACCAACACCGCAACCCGCCAAATTAAAAGCTTGCTTATTTAAAAAAAATAAAAAATAAAAAATGTAAATACTAGCATTGTATTTTTATTTAACACCCAGGTTTTATTTTAAAATATAATAATAGTCATATCATATCATCATACTCTATTTATTATTTTACTAAAATACAAAAAGTACATTAATACTATTATCACTATTATTAATAATTATATTTTTATTTTATTTAATGAGTCACACTATGTGCAGTGTGATTACCAAACCAAATTTCCAGGTGATCTTATGAGAACCAGACTGAAAATCTTATGTGCACCCCTGAACATACTTATACATACTTACTATAGGATTAGGTTTGGATTAGGCTTAGTTGCATATAATTATGCAGAATTTACCGTTGTTATTATTATAATAAATAACAAGGACACTGTAAAATAAAGTGCTCCTAAAATTGTCTTTGTAATTTTTAGTGCTGTCAAAGGATTAATCGTGATTAATCGCATCCAAAATAAAAGTTTTTGTTTACATAATATATGTGTGTGTGTGTGTGCTGTGTATATTTATTATGTATATATAAATACACACACATGCATGTATATATTTAAGAAAAATAAGTTATGTTTATATTTAAAATATATTTATATATAATATAAATTATATGAATATAAATATATACATGTAAATATTTTAGAAATATATACTGTATGTGTGCATTTATATATATACATAATAAATATACACAGTACACACACATACAGTGATTAATGAGGAAAAAAAATTAACTTAAATGATTTTAGCAAATGGCTGCAATATAACAAAGAGTGAAAAATTTAAGGGGGTCTGAATACTTTCCGTACCCACTGTATATTGTGTAAACAAAAACTTGTATTTTGGATGTGATTAATCGTTTGACAGCACTAGTGGATGCTTAGATAATATCAAGCAATTGCCAAAAGCTATTTAATATTGTTTAAACAAACTTGCATTCTCCAATCAGGTATATAATGTCCACTTTTACTATCCAATCAATTCCTGACGAGTAAAAATTACCCACTCTATATATTTTGCAATTGAAAATACTGTGAAAAAAAATACTCTGAAATATGGCATATGCCAAACTGCAATTCACCTTTGTGTAGAAAAGAGTGGAGTTTTACGTTATTTAGCACTTGCCAGTAAAGTGTACAGAATCAGAATGTGTATAGTACCTGAACACACAACGCCAGCATCTTCCTTATGTCCACAATAGTTGCTGGCAGTGGTGTTGATTGAGCTGCACTCCCATAAGCTGCTCTCAGAGCCATTGCATTTCATTTGGCTGATGTGGATGGGACCTGTTCCAGGCCCAAAAAAGTCCAATCTTATCGCACTTCCACATCTCAGCTGGGTACAAACTACATGTCCACTATTGATGTCAAAATCATCATCACACACTGTTCCCCAATTCCCAGAATGCAGCAGCTCCACCCGACCAGAACAGTGATCACGTCCTCCAAACAATCGGACAGCACGGTGCTCTGGAAGACAATGGTCAGCCCAGACAAAGCACAATTACAGCAATGAAACAAAAGTAGAACACTTATCAAAAGATCTCTGAGAAGATCTCAGATGACTCACCGCAAATTACTTCAGTTGCATTCATGCAATCGACTTTTGCGGCTGTAGTGCAGTCGTGCAGTTTTGAGTCTCTCAGGATGCAGTCTGCAAGACAAGTGCCATTGTGCACTGTTGCAGTCGCGCCGTGCTCGAAAACACGGCCACAACTTAAACGTTCACAGATTTGGAGAGCAAGCTCTTTCTTTTCCTCAGCATCCAAAAGGTTGAGGGTCACATCGACTGTAGTGTTCTTGTAAAGAGCCCTAGGCACACCAAAGCAGCCTTCAGACAAACTTAGTGTGGAGAGCTCAACTAGTTCAGAAAGACAAAAAAATAAGTCATTAAATGATTTCATTGAATCATCTACCTTAACTGTTTCTATCATTCTCATGAATGTATTAACTTTTTTATCTTTACAGCATGCTGCGTTGAGTCAGAACATTTTCCAACATTGCATCCTGACACTGATCTTATCTGAGTGTTGATTCTGTTCTCAGTGTGTATTTCTAGAACATCAGACAAAAGACTTCTATTTAGACCCAAACAGCAAAGTGTATATCTAAACCGTGGGGCATTGTTTTGTGTTGCAAAACGTTGTAGCAGTACACTGCAACACAGCCACATCCCGTGAGTCACTTCCTGTGGAAATGTCATATTGTAGCATGGAGGACACCAGGGAAAGAACTTCTTTTTTAGAAAGTTTATGACATTGCCTCCGCAGTGTGGTTTGAGCTCATGAAGCTCTCCTGATTTATGACTACAGGATGCAGATCGTGTCTGTATATCATCTGTGGAATTGTGACTCACTCTGAAGGTCTTGCTTTGGGGTGACTTCTCAACAGGGTCAGAGGTCACTGGTCTGATGTTCCACTGTGGTGGTGAAAAACACTACCATTCTTTTTTTTTTTTTGAAAGAAATGAATATTTTAATTCACTAAGGATGCATTAAATTGATCAAAAGGGACAGTAAAGTCTTTAAAATTGTTACAAAAAAGTTCCAAATAAATGCTGTTCTTTTGAGCTTTCTATTCATCAAATAATCCTGAAAAAAATGTACCAAGGTTTCCACAAACTGTTTTCAACATTGACAATAGTAAGAAATGTTTCTTAAGCACAAAATCAGCATGTTAGATTGATTTCTAAAAGATCACGTGACAGATCATCACAGCAGTAAATCACATTTTATAACATATTAAAAACAGAAAGCATTTCTTTTCAATTGTAATTCCACAATATTAATGTTTTGTACTCTGTTTTATGTTGAGCATAAAATACCTCTTTCAAAAACATAAAAAGATTTTACAGACCCCAAACATTTGAATGATAGTGTAGTTGGTGAAGAAGTATGGAAACACGATATATAACACAGCATGAAACTTAAAAACAAAGTCTTGTTGTTTTTTTCCCCCAACACACGGTTGGTGGAAGAAGGTGCTTAATCTGCAGAAAATATCATATTAAATAGAATATTGATATTATACCATTTTTTTTACAACCCTGTTAACAATCTGGGAAGTTTATACAGATTAAACCCTGATTTATCATATTAATATTATAATTTTTTTTACAGCCCTGTTAACAATCTGGGAAGTTTATACTGATTAAACACCGATTTATCATATTAATATATATTTTTTTTTACAGCCCTGTTAACAATCTGGGAAGTTTATACAGATTAAACTCCGATTTGTGTCATTTCATTCTAACGCTAAACATTTAATAAGCATCAAAGTGAAATATGTGTAATAAATATGAAAAAAAATCACTCAAAAGGGCTTGCTAGTTTGGAAGCAAATGTTTACATTTTCAATAAGATGAAGAAAAATATCAGTTTGATCTTTTTTTACTTGAATAACAGGGTTGATGAATGCCATGAACACAGCAATATTTATACAAATTCGGAAAATGGAGATTATTTAAGCATCTTCCTGTACCGCTGCAGAAAGGCTCAAAATTGTGTTAAATATTTTTATATAAAATTATGTTTTTGGCCATTTAAATGATTCAGTAATTACATGCATTCAAAATTATGACGTTGTGCTTAATTGTCGGATACGGTTGGGACTCTCCCAAATGAGTGCAAGGACTTTTCCTTTCGACTCCAGCTTTTCTTTATCTTCTTCATGTATGATGCCTGTGTGATTGCGTACAGCATTTACATCATTAGTTCCCACAGTGATTAATAATTTTAAAATGAACTCTAGCGTGCAATAAAATGAAGCGGTTGTCTCTGGGGTGGTAGATTGCTCTCTCAGTTCTGTGCAATCCTGCGATGGTCTTGCTGATGTCTTTTCTCTGTTCAGTTTGATGATAGGAGGTTACTCTCAGCAGGCCTACCTCAAACACAGTTCTCATGCATATTGTTCAACATCTTATTTAACTGCTTGATTTTGCAGGCCTCTTTTAAATAAGCTAGCTTTTTTTTTTTGATTGTCGTGAGATTGCTGCTAACGGCACCCATCGATAACACTCATGTAGACAAGATGCAGATATAGACAAGACACTCTCAAAGGAAGACATGAGTAGCAGTAATCATTCAACTCACTCTGTTTGTCTGAATGATCAGCATGCTTTTTCACACTCTTGGAAGGTCGCTCATCTGTAACATTGAGCCCTGAAGATGAAAAGATGAACATCATGAACTGTCATTTCAGTATAAAGCGTAAAAGTAGAACAAAGTGCTTAAATAAACAGTCTTCCAATTTGCGATCAGTCTTCACTGTCTGCGAAGACGATATTTATCAAAGACAATAGCAATGAGACTGTTGAACAAGATTCATAAAAAGAGCTGTCTTAACAAAACAACAACAAAAAATGGTGTTCCGCAAAACTTCGGTAATGCTCGTGTCAGGTTATAAAGTAAATTTGCATTGAATTCACATTCAAAGACTTGCCTTTGAAGACTTTGTCAAAACAAGAACATTTACAACATGGAATAGGTTTGAATGGCTTGTAGTGTAAAGAGAACGTAGATAAATCTTAATTAAAAGTTTTATACATGATGAATGAGACCGCAAGATGAAATATTTCTAATAATAACATATAGCAAAGTTGTAGTTATTTATACCTATAGGACTATTTCTTGAAAACCTGCTGTTAACGCAAACTACTGTAGATAAAAGGGCTGCTGATCTTGTATTTCAATACAGCGTGGTCCTCTAAATTAGTTTCTCCATCTGCCTCACTCAGAGCTGACACTCGGCTTGGCCAATAAAGCGTACTCTAAAAAAGGCACAGTATAAAATTCATTCAGAAAAATTATAATTGCATTTGTGAATACCCATTATGTTCCCACTCTCTTTAGACATTCTCAGAGAATCTAAAAATATTCATTTTTCTTACAAAAATGGCATGATGTCTATGTCTGCTTTGGTACATAATTTTGGGGGAAAAAAATTACTCACAGAATGAAATAAATGTATAACAGATAATATCGCTATGCATTATACGTTATACATTATACATTATATGAGCCAAATACATTTAAATTTAAAAAATGTAAATTGCTTACATAAAATTCAGCGTAACCTTACAACATTCTAATAATTCATGCCATTTCTGAGAATTCTGAGAATGAAACATATAAAATGGCATACACAAATGAAGTTTTTAGTTTTATAATTAATATTTTCATATTCTCTATAACAATGAATTTGTTGTATTACAAAAGGAGATCACTAATTAAGATCAAAACAAAAAACAAATTTGCAAGAATTGTCTTTTAAGATTATTTGCATTATGTAATCTTCCTCAGATTAACAGTTATTTTATACAGACCAGGCATATGTACAGTCTTATTCATCAAAATACTATTTGCAGTGTACATTCTATGTCTGTCAAGATCCATGCATTCTTTATAGCAGAACAAAATATAGCATTTCCGTTATTGTATTATTGAAACACTTTTCTACAAATGTCGAGCCTTGTAAATGCCACATTGTCATGTTTATAAAATCCGTAGCTTGTTTTACACAATCTAAATTAACTCCATATAGTCTAAAAATGGCTATTAGGAAAATTCAGCAATAAGATGAAGATGTTGTTCTTTATTTTTAGCCATCATATGCATTTGACTTACAAATGAAGTCATCTTTCTTCATTCAATCTCCTGTGAAGTTCAGCTTATTAGTTACCAGTGTTTCATAGTGCACTGAAGTGCATAAACGAATCTCTGGTTGCACTTTGTTCCAACAGCACTTTACAAAAGCAACGTAATGAACCGAGGCATTTCAACCACAAAGCATGTCTTACACCAAGTCTTTTGTTGAAAGTGCACATTTGATTTTCCATCTATGATAGTGATTGTCTCTCAAGAGCTATTTAGACGGATTGTGCAATACCCTTTGAGAATTCTACAGCCTCTCTGCTCAAGTATCATCGACTTAATAGAGAAACCACTAGATCCTTTATTAAATATTAGAATGTGTTTTTTTGCCAGAATATTGAATATTATATAATCGCAGTTGAACTCAAGCTCTCTAGATGAAAGACCCAGTCTGCCTACACAAACCATACACCAGAACTATTTTACCTTGAGACAAGGACAAAGCCTGGAGAACAACACGCAGCAGCAGAAGAAGCATCTCTCAGTCAGTCAGCCTAACAGCCAAAGCTTTCTGTTCGTCCCTGACGGAGAAAAACGTGGCCCTGCACCTTCAGTTTTTGGTGTTTGTGCAGTTGCTGCATGTGGTTTCCACTACGGGGCGAATTTGAGCATCATGCCTCACAAATGCACTCCCTACCACAAACGCACACCCTATTTTGCTACCGTTACAGGTCAAGTTTCACTTCATATTTCACTTCATTTTGGACTGTTCTGAAATATGTTTTTAGTGGCTAATGGAGTCGTTTCGATTCTGGCAATAGTTTTGCAACCATTTTCATTTCTCTCCAGTTCATTATAGACTTTTATTGAGTTTCTTTGAGTAGTTACACAAAATGCCCAAGCTAGGCAGAATCGATGAAGAATTCATCATGAAGCCCAATTCATCATTCATCATTGGCCTGGCATGCAATTAATGAATTGAAGGGACAATGAATACAGCTGTCTGATAAATTGTCTGTTATTATCTTCTAGCCTAAATTACAAGTTTAAGACGTCAAAGAAGATTTCTACACTCGCTCCCACTGCCCAGAACTTCAGTTACACCCAAAGCAATATTACCTTGAATTTCTACAGCATTATAGAGAAACTGGTGGGTATGGCCCAAAAATGTTGTTGTTGTTGTTTTTTTCTGATATGGGAGCAGGGAAAAAAAGCCAAATGCAAATAATAAAATCCATCTAGCAAAATAAACAGGCTTTTAAAATGGAGGAGAAAAGGCTTCCCATATCTTTCGTTGTCAACTTCAAATGCCATGTGTCCAATGTCCAAATGTAAATTTGGCACACGCCAGCCAAATTATGCAGAGATACCAACATGGACAAGTTGCGTAACATACCTTCATCTTTAAAATCCAAGAATAAAACAGTGCAAGATGAAAAGAAAATATGACCAAGACTACATTAAATATGGGTTCACTTGCATTGAAAATAACCATGTTTGTGCCAACTGCAATGTGTTTTGTGGTAAATTATTGGCTGCCAGGAGCATGAAACAATTTTTTTGTTGAATTTTTCTATTCATCCACTCTTATTTTGCATATTGTTGGTCCTATGCTTGACCACAGTATTGTGTTGAGTCTTCACTTTTCCAACTTCCAACTTTCCAATGTAAAACCAGTTTAGAGCCACTGTTAAGAATATAATAACTTAGCACTGGAAAACTATAGCAAATGCTTTATATCGACTGTCGAAATGACAATATAGAATAACTTCAGCTTTCTTTCATGTGGACCAGTGTGGTGATCTAACCATATTTTTGGGGATTACTCAAACTGAGACTCACTCAAACGTTGCAGATATAATGCAGTTTCTACCCACAGAATGAACTAGTGGTTAAAGACCTGAGTCGGTTACCCACGTTTGACCGCACGAAGGGTGAAGATTATACCTTAACTTAACAAGGGCGACTTCATGTGAAGTCATGAAAATAAATTTCATTGAAAGAGGAACCAGAGCCAACCAAGGATATTCTCTTGACTGCCAGTAAGTCAGTGAGCATATGTAGGATGAAATGTAAAAACCTAGTTCACCTGCTCTTTAGCTAGCAGCATTTCTGTGCACAACCACAAGGGGAAGCTCTAGTCTGATTATCTTGAAATACAGCTGAGATGTGAAAATAGGAGTAGTATCCACCAGCCATTATTTATCTTCTTTAAATTTGTGTGTATATTTCAACATCTGTTTCATGTTGGTATGGGATTTCAGGTAGACTGCTGTGGCTGCATTGTCAGCCAGAGGAAAGGTGATTTGCTGGCCAAAACACTGCTGAGTAAAAAAGATTTACATCTCCACAGCACAAATGCACTGAGATCTCTCTCTCATCTCTGCTAATAGAACACACAACTGGTTATGGCTTTCTCACCATTATGGCCCTCTCAGGTAATCTTCATGCTAACAGTACACAGGCCTAACAGCAAAGCTGTTCAGGGACAACACTAAAGTCACTGTCCTCTCCGTCTTTGTGCAAATAGAAAGAGGAACCAGAGCCAACCAAGGATATTCTCTTGACTGCCAGTAAGTCAGTGAGCATATGTAGGATAAAATGTAAAAACCTAGTTCACCTGCTCTTTAGTTCTATTTAGCTAGCAGCATTTCTGTGCACAACCACAAGGGGAAGCTCTAGTCTGATTATCTTGAAATACAGCTGAGATGTGAAAATAGGAGTAGTATCCACCAGCCATTATTTATCTTCTTTAAATTTGTGTGTATATTTCAACATCTGTTTCATGTTGGTATGGGATTTCAGGTAGACTGCTGTGGCTGCATTGTCAGCCAGAGGAAAGGTGATTTGCTGGCCAAAACACTGCTGAGTAAAAAAGATTTACATCTCCACAGCACAAATGCACTGAGATCTCTCTCTCATCTCTGCTAATAGAACACACAACTGGTTATGGCTTTCTCACCATTATGGCCCTCTCAGGTAATCTTCATGCTAACAGTACACAGGCCTAACAGCAAAGCTGTTCAGGGACAACACTAAAGTCACTGTCCTCTCCGTCTTTGTGCAAATAGTACAATCTGTTTTTCTCCTGCCAGTTTTTGGATGCGATTTTGGATGAAAATCAAATTTTTTAGAATACTTTTGGTGAATATAAGGTTCAAAAGAACAGCATTTAGTTGAAATTGAAATGTTTTATAACATTATTAATGGCATTACTGTCACTTTTGATCAATTTATTGCATTCTTGCCGAAAAAAGTATTGATTTCTTTCATTTCATTTTGGTGGATAAGATTGTTTGGCACGCTATCCACTTTGTAAAGTACAACTAATAATAGATTTGTTGATTTAATAAACCCCAAACATATATGTTTACATTTATATATAAATTAATTTGCTAGACAATTTTCTTTTTCTATGGGCTAGTTTGTTTACATAATTACATACTAAGTAATACTTTAAGTTATCTTTTCCTGCCCTTTGTGTCTAGCTGTGTATCGAAGGCTTTATGCTCACCATATACAGTCAAATTAAAAATTATTCAGATACCAGATATCATTTTTGATATTTTTTACTAGTGGGTGCAGGACGTTGTTCGTTTATGTAAGTGAGGATAGCAAAATAAAGTAAACTGCAACATATTATACCCAAAAATTCTTCATACAGTGGATTCTTCCAGTAAAACGGACTAAAATTTGGGAATGTTAAGGGGCTAGGACATGCTATAAAGAGAGATTTAAATTGTTATTTAGACCCTTATTTAGACAGACTATCCACTCGTCCACCCCCTGGAATTGCATCAGTACAAGTTTTAAATAACCTGCTTAATTGCAGAAATTTTGTGGATATTTGGAGAATTCAGCACCCTGTTGACAGAGATTATTCGTACTATTCGCATGTCCACAAAGCTTATAGTAGAATAGATTATTTTTTGGTTGATTCTCAGTTAATTTCACATGTTATTGATACCAGGTACCACAGCATATTGATCTCCGATCACAGCCCCCTTACCATGTCCATCGACCTATCTCTCCCTAAGCGATCTTATTCTTGGCGTTTCAATCCATCTCTGCTTACTGACAGTAAATTCGTAGAACACATTACCATCAAGTTGAAAGAGTTTATGGAGTTTAATGACAATGGGGAGGTGTCAGATTCTATACTTTGGGAGACATTAAAGGTGGTTATGCGCGGGCATATTATTTCTTACGAATCTGCTGCCAAGAAAGAAAGAGAGAAACAACTTTTAAAGATACAAAGTGTTCTTCCTACTCTTGAATTGGCGTATCAGGTGTCAAAATCATCTGACGACTATAATAAGATACTGAAGCTTAAGTATGAATACAGCTGCATTCTTGGTGGTCAAATAAACAACCTCTTTTTGAGAATGAGGCAGAGGCATTTCGAAATGGGAGATAAGCCTGATAAGCTCTTGGCACAACAACTTAAAGGGGCTCATGCTTCCAGGTCAATCTATTGCATTAAGTATAAGGATGGCACACTGTTAACTGACCCCAAGGATATTAATGCCCGTTTTAAAGATTTTTATAGTGAACTCTATACTTCCAATAGTACAGCCACTCATTCTGATTTAACAAATTTTTTTGACTCTCTTGAAATACCTAAACTTAGAGACATTGCTAAGTCCGACCTGGACTCCGATTTCACTTTGGAGGAGATAGTCGCTGCCATTAAGTCATTTCCAACTGGGAAGGCGGCGGGGCCAGATGGATTTAGTTCAGAATTTTTTTAAAGATTCTGTGATATTCTTGCCCCGCTCCTCCTTAGAATGATAATAAATTCTAAAAAAGATAACGTTCTGCCTAATACATTGTATGAAGCCAATATATCTCTCATTTTAACGAAAAACAAAGATGAAACCGACCCGGCCAGCTATAGACCAATTGCGCTTCAGAACTTTGATAGGAAAGTAATTACTAAAGCTTTGGCTATTCGGCTTAACAAACATCTACCCTCCATCATTCATCCTGACCAGACCGGGTTTATTCCTGGCAGATTCTCTTTTTTTAATGTGCGTCGCCTCCTCAACACAATATATGCTATGCAGGCGAAAGCTAATGGAGCAGCAATTCTGTCCTTGGACGCGGAGAAAGATTTTGATCAGGTTGAGTGGCCTTACATGTTTGGATCACTGCAAAGGTTTGGGTTTGGCGAGACATTTATATCATGGGTCAAAATAATATATGCCAGACCAAAGTGTTCAGTTCTAACTAACGCAGACAGGTCACTTGAGTTCCCTTTACACCGCTCAGTGCAACAGGGGTGTCCCCTTTCACCCGCCCTTTTCGCCATTGCGGTAGAACCCCTTGCCTTAAGTATAAGGCGTCATACGGGTATCACAGGTCTTGAAGTGGGAGGCAAGAAAGTTCTTATTAGTCTCTATGCAGACGATGTGATATTGTATTTGCAGAACTCTGAAAGATCAGTTCCCATTCTTTTAGATTTAATTACTTCTTTTGGGAAATTATCGGGGTATACAATCAATTTGTCAAAGAGTAACTTTATGCCTCGAGTCTCTCTGATACTTATAGACCTGGTTGTTTGGAGAATATTCCATTTAAAATAGTCAGAGATCATTTTGT